TTGGCATCTCTCTCCTCATAGGTGTGCACTATGCTTGTTGCATGCCTTATTTTTGTCATGTGCACACTTACTTTCTTATGAAATGTGTAGTAGTGCATTTGACAAGCTCTTGCGTGCGTTGAATTATTATTTTACTAGAGCGGTCAAGCTTGGACCTTAAGCAAGCCTTTCTTGGGAAGTAACCCGTGTTTTAGATTAGATTTTTCTTTTGTTTTTTTTAGAATAGATTTTCTCTCATGGAAATGTTTGTGTGCCTTTTGCTAGGTACATGACTTGATATACTTCAGTGCTTCGATTTGGATCAAGAATCAAGGAAGTTTGACTCCTATTTTTGCTAGCACATGGAAACAAGGTTCAATTCTTGAGAAATTAGCTTTGAAAGGTTAAATTGGGTCATTTGCGGGTATTTACACCCACCTAATATCCGGTAATATCCTTCCTTGCTCTTTCTCTAATGGTTGATGCCATGTTGGACATATGTTGGTTTATTGGATTGATCTCCTTGTTTTCCCCTCCCATGGATTATATGATTTATGTTTGAGTGTATTGTCTCATTCAAGCTTGGGGGAGGGTATTCTATCGTGTTTGGTGGGATGTTGTTCCTTATGTGTTATGAACCTTTGTATATGCTTTTCCATGTTTCTTATATTTTGAAAAACTCCAAAAAGATTTTGTTTCTATCAAGGCAAATTTGCAATGTGTTTTGTTTTGTTCTTGATTTGGACATAATAACATTTGGACTTGTATAATTGAATGCCTTTCTTCTTAAATAGTAACGGTGTGCACGGTTTGAGAGTATGCTTGGTTGATTCTAGGATAAAGCATGCTAAGGTAGTTGGTTAGAACTAGTGAGAACATGAAGCCGGATTCTACTTGTTTGTGGCATGTTTGGTAGTTGCTTTCTATAGTCGATTTAACACCAATAGTGAGTTTTTGCTACATCCGTGTGAGTTCTTTGTTTTTCAAGCCTTCTACCTATATTTGCATGAGCGGCATGGATCCTTGACTTTGCAAACCTAATCTTGGAACTTGACTCATAGATCTTGAATCCGAGACCGAACCATTTACGGAGGACAAAGGCATATTTTCGGGGTGGTATTTTTTCATTTTTAGGATAGTGTGTTTCATTCTTTATTTTTGGGTTTACATTTGCCTTCTTGCAACCATTTGAGCCTTATACCTTCTTTTCAAGCCACATCTTTAGATCTTTGGCCTTTTGTTTCATTTTCTTTCTTTTCTTGGTTTTTGTGAAGCAATTGATCATTCTTGATGGAGTTTGTGGTGGAGAAGTTGGAATGTTTGGTTCTTATGAAAGCAAGATTGTGTTATGTTTTCTTTGTGAATAATGGCAAATGAGTATGAGTAAAAGTCGTCCTACATTATAAAAGGCATGGACAAATAAGTGCAAAGTCGAAAAAGCCGTCCAAAGTTAAAAGAGGCGAGGACAAAGCATTATTGGAAAATGAAAAAGAAAAAAAAAGTGAAAAATGAAAAAATTCAAAAATATTTTGATGTGAGTTTTCTCCCTTTTTGAGCATTGAGGATAATGCTCCATTTAAGCTTGGGGGGAAGCGTTCTCACGCTTTTTGTGTATATGTTTGTGATTTATAGCTTTGAATAAGCTTGGGGGTGTTGTTGTTTTTGTTTGGTGATAACTTGGTTATGGTGTAAAGAAATGCGCAATATTTGCTTCACAATTTAGGTAAACCACCAAATTTTAAATTTTAGCCTACCTTCTCCCTTTTGCCTTAACGTTACAACCTTGGGGAAAGACCTTTTGACCTAAATGGTTGAGTCATTCATCGGTGGAGAGGAATGTGAGTTTTAGGAATAGGGAGAGGAGATGCAAAAGTCAAGATGTCGAGTAGCCTAAAAATTCTGTTTTCCGGTTCCTTAGAGGAATCATTGGGATGCTCACTAGAGGTCGATTTGAAGCTATTAGGAAGAACGTGGTAAGATCGTTTGGGATGAAAGTGGATTGTGAAAGCTAGTTCCTATGCTTAGCATATTTATGTTTCAATCAACCTTGGGTATCTTGGAACGTGCACTCCCTTACTTGTTTAGAAAGATTTGTATTCATTTGTGCTTGTACATTTGGAAAAGTCCTTTCATGAACATGTGTTTGTTTTGCTTTTCTCTTGATTTCTTTTCATGCTTTGCCTTGTTTGTATTATTATGAGAGTTATGGGTTAAACTCTTAGGATACCCTTACGAGAGCATCACTCGTCCTCTAGGGAGATCTAGGGGTTTAAATGGCTTGTCATTAGTTGCTAAAATTGACCGTGATTCCTACGAAAGTGAGTTAGTGTATATTCTTGTCTCCTCTTTTCTCTAGTTTGTTTTAATAAGCTCGTCATTTTCACTCCCTTGGTTTTGTTTTGCTCGAGGACGAGCAAAAGGTAAGCTTGGGGGTATTTGATGTGTGTCATAAATGGCACACATTTGATGAGCATTTAGGTCCTTTTTATCCTCTTTTCATAGCTTCCATGCTTAATAAGTGCTTAGTTTTATACTTTGTTGCTTAGCTTTACCTTTCCTCTCTTATTTTGTAGTTTTCGTGGATTTCGTTGGTTTTCTAGCCTTTTCTCCTTTATTTGCTCTATTTTCATGTTTTTAGGTATTGAACGAGGTTCGGGTCTTGATTTTGATGGTCCACTATGGTGAAGGAAGCTTTTGGATCAAGTTCATGGCATTCGGGAAGCTCAAGATGCATAGAAGTGGAAGTTCCAAGTCTTGGCTCTTCTCTTGCGCTCGCATGCAGTGCTACCATCAAAGGGGTGTGTGCCCACCAATATTAAGCCTTAGCTACTGCCACTTCTAGTTTTCATCACCATCATAAGTCATGCACCCATCGCAAATGCTCGAAGCTTTGAAGAATCGAAGAAACCCAGCTAGGTGCGGCCGCACGCGCGGGTGGTGCGGCCGCACACCATGGTGGTGCGGGCGCACCCCCCTGGGTTTGTGCCCGTACCCTTTCCCGTGCGCCTACTCTTCTTTCCTATGTGCGGCCGCGCCGCCGTGGGTTCTTTTCGATCGGTTTTTGGTGATTTTGCGCCTCTATATATACCTTTTGGAACCCAATTTTTGTAAGCAAGTTTCATATTACAATTAGATCATATTCTTAGCTTAGTTGAGAGCTTCTCTCTCTAGATTTAGGGGTTAGTTTTAGGAGTAGATTTTAGAGAGAGAAAGTAAGGAATTTCAATGGTGATTGAGAGATTGAAGATTCAATTGTGACAATTGTATTGGAGATCTTCTCTATTATCAATGAGCATTTCTAAACTCTATCTCATTTATTGTTTTGTTTTGTATTCATGTTTGGATTGTTTGATTTTGTTTGGAATTTGATGAATGATATTTGATTAGTGTAATTGTTCTTCTTAGATTGTTGATTGTTGATTACTTTAGTGGTTTGTTGATTTCATGATGTTGTTAGAGTAGTTGTTTGGTTAGGTATATGGTGAAACTTATATTATGTAATGGATTGATGTAGATTGGGGAAATTGATGGAGTTGATGATGTGATTAAATTGGTTAATTGATTATGTGCATGTGTGTGTTTGATTTAGGCTTGATCACCCTAGTTATTCGCACTAGATTACATTGTAAGTTCACATTGATACGGACCATTGATTTGTGGCTTGCATTTACACGATTGAGGTGTCTTGTGATGTTTCCTAGCTAGAGTTTATCGTAGTTGACGCTAGTTAGACCTCAAGGAGAATAGCTTGATATGCTCTTTTGGTTGCATAATTGATCTTCCCTCACATTGCTTGACTTAGTCAACTTCTTATCCCAATTTGCTATGTTCATTGCTATTATAGGTGAATCCTAATCCCTAGCTCTTTATTTGTTTGGTTTCTTCGTCATAGTAGTTGTTAGAGTCACCTTTTACCCTTCGTCTTTGACCTAGCTTAGGCACATAATTGGAAGCACTTAGACATTACCGTTCCTTTGGGTTCGACCCTTGACTTACCTCTATACTTGTATTTAGGTTTGTTGAGTGTTTATAAATTTTTTTTGGCTTAGGGAGAATTAGTCCAACTACCTAGTTCTCCCCACGTCAGTTATTGATCCGACCCAAATTCAACCCGACTTGTTATTGCCCTGACCCGAATTTAAACTCGACCTATACTAACCCGAATTTAAACTCGACCTAAATTTATCTTCAAATCAAACTTCCATATAACTACTTATAATCCTTTTATTGATCCTTTTTTTCAAATTTTAGTATTCACTTGTTTATTTTAATATTTTTTAAAATGTTTTAAATTATGCAATTTGATTTGGAGCTTAAAAAAAATTAAAAAAAAATTTATTGACTTGAACTGAACCCGACTCGAACCCGAGAATGCCTCGACTAGGAAATGACACGACGTGATTATAACCCGCAAATTATTGACTTGAACCGAACCCGACTCGAACCCGATAATGACCCAACCTGATTATAACCCGCAAAAAATTGACTTGAACCGAACCCGACTCGAACCCGAACAGGACCCTAGCTCGTTTAAACCCGTAAAAACCCGAATGTAACTCGACCTGTTTTTCACCCAACCCGAATGTAACCCGACCTTTTATTGACCCGACCTAAACCTGACCCAAACCCGATAAGATGTATGACCCGACGTGACCCAACTCAAGCATGACCCAACCCGAACCCGACCCACATAGGTCCCGACATTAGCCCGTACTGACCCGACCCGAGATGACCTGACCCACACTATCCCGACTCAAACCCGACCCATTTACCTGAATTGACAACTCTATGTCCAACTATATATGAGTATATTGTAGTATAAATAATATTTTGAACGAACTAAATATAATGGATAATTGCATATAACTATAACTCTTAAAAGCCGAATTGGTGAGAAAATGGTTTCTGTTTTCCTATGCTTATGAACAGTGTTATTCCCTTTTTACCCTTAAAAAAGTCCCTTCAAATCTATCCTTTCCCTTTTAAGTCCCAGAATATGTGTTACTATTTCAAATCTATAGTGTAGTGACGGTTATGTCCTTAGTGTTTTTTTTCCTTATTTTCCTTGTTGATTGAGTTCAGTCTTCAACATTGAATCCCTCATTCTTGCTTTTTCCTTATTTTCCTCTTTCTTCCATTTGCTTTCTGTCTCCTTTGAATCGGTCTTCGCACTCTCATTCCATCCCTTCTTTCTCACTTCATTTTCTCTTTCTTCACTCTCCACTTGCCTCTCCTCCCTCCATTTTTTACAGTGTTTGTAGACCCTAAACCCAAAACAAAAACTTTCAGATTGGGTGAATTTCCAGAAACTCTTCCCAGTTAGGAAGGAACTTCGAACTAGGAGAACAAGAGAAAGAGAGGTAATTAGCTCGGCGAACCTGTTTCTGAATTTGAAATTCCTTTTCTGTTGCTCAAATTCAAAAACGCAATTATCAAAATAGCATCCAACAGTAGAATTAACGTAACAACAATTTCAATTATGGAGATAATGTATTAAAATTGCAGAGAATTAATAGGAAATTGAAGACAAATGGAAGAAGATCTTTAGGTTCTCTTCTATCTTGTTTGTTTAATAATCTGGTTTGTATTAATTTTCTTCTTTTTTTCCTGATAATTTATCTGGGGTTTCTTAATTTTTCCATCAACTTTCGGGGTTTTCTTAATTTTCTTAATTTTCCATCAAATTTATGTGGGTGTATCTAAGGTTTGTATGAGTGTTTATTAAACCCTTTAAGGAGTACCTTATTATAGCCAACAATTTTTTGCTGATGAAATTTTGCTTATTATTGCAATTATTATTTGTTGTCATTATTTTATATTCTTTGGTTGTAATTTAAGAAGTGATATGGTCCAATGTAAACATCTTCATGCTCAACTCTTTCATTGCTTACAATATTGATTTGACTCATTTGAAGGTGGCTATTTCATTGCTTACAATCTTGAGTTGATAAAGTCACAAACATCATGTCCAAAGTTCTTGAATAAGACGATAAATCTCCTAAGGTCTTGTTTTTATTGAGTGTTGTTGTTTAGTCATATTCATAATTGATCAAGTATTTGGAGAATTGCCCTCTCCATCTACTTCCTTTCAGTCCACAGTGCTGTTTTGCATAGTTCATCTGCATTTGTAAAAGATGACTGCCTTGTTGTTCCTATTGTACCAGTGGTTTCTGTTCCTTGTCCAACTATTAATCCAAAATAAAAGATATGCCTGGATAGTGAATAGGGTAAGGTTGTGTGCATCTTAGTCACTGAAAATACTGTGAAAAGCAGGACCCATCACATTTTAAAGTGAAATGGATTTAACCTTTGTGTCATTAAGAGAAACTTTAGGTTGAAACTTGAGGTTCTTTTGTGTTGCATTTATCTTGGTGGGACAATGAGTTTGATCATTTGATTGTGTTATTTTATTTTGAGCTTGAAACTTGAGGTTCTTTAGATTGACTTTCTTTTTAACAGTATGGTGATAGACATATTGAGTGTGTGTGAAGTCTTACAGAAACTAAACTTCAATAGGTCCCTTTGAGTGAGGATTTACAATTTTAAAATATGATAGATTTGGAAGATTGTATTGGATAGTGTCGTATAATTTGGTTTTGTGTGGCATTTAATCTCAGAATATGGACTAATATTAAGGTTGTGAAATTGTAATGATGATTTTGGGATTCTGTTGTGGGTTGTGTCATAATTTTGTTTTGTGTTGGCTTTCATGTGCATTGGTGTTTTGGACCTTAATGAATTGCAATTAATGAAAATATAGAAGCTTAAGATCAATTTTAGTTGCATTCATTGCAATGAGAACTGTCTTTTCTGATGTCATTTGTTCTCATCGGAATTAATAATAATTATAATTGACCATTAAAAATGTTTTAAAATATATTATTTTCAAAATTTATGAGTAAGATTATGAAAAAAATATCAAAACTACAAAATTAAATTTGGTCACAACATCCACAACCTGTTCCGCAACAACCGCATCATTTCTGTTACCGCGACATGCGATCGTTACCGATATCACGACCGAAACCACATTTTCGAACCATGCATCGGATTCTTCAACTATTATTCTATCTTAAGCTCTATTCATGTGTGATTACGAAATGTTCACTGTATATTTTATAAAGAATGGGGTTGTCTCCTTTTCCTACAGGTCCTAGACTCAGCTCATCAAGTTGGAAGATTTATTGTCTCAAGCTCTCAACTGCCCCTGATTTGCCTTACAAGGAAATGACCAAACACTACGAAGCTCTTATGATGGGTAAGCAGTAGAAGATGTCCCATTTGATGACGGTTCAGCAACAAAAAAGCTTAATCAACTTCTATGTCCAACATGCTGATCTCGAACGAAATAGGGCTACTCCTTCACATGTAAGGCACTTATTAAGATTCTTTTAGTTTTGAGATTTCAATTGTTGCAATGTTTGATACATGTATCTATGAAGAAATTTTTGATATGGCATGATTTTCCTACAAACACAAACAATTTGAAACCCTAAAAAGGAACTGGTTAACAGGAAAGGAAGGAGGGATGATCCATTGTACTGTTTACCACTTAAATTATTTGGCTACTCAGAACAATCTGTCATCTCAGAATAGGTAGAATAAGGCTACTTTTGGTGTTAAATTTGGCAATCTGAGTGAGTAGAATAAGGCTACTAGGCCTGAAAGAAGCAGAACTAATTGAAAAGAAGGTAAAAGCATTCAATATACTGCTCTAAGTTAATTATTTATTGTCTACACTTTAAAGTAAACCAGACCACACCTTAAACAACTCTTTTCATTTGTTATGTAGATATCAGGCTGGGATGGCTTTGACAATTTAGCTGCTGCACTTAAAGGAAAACCAGTGAAAGTTGAAGTTGGGCCAACAGGTGCAATCAAGAGAGTTGGCTACCTCAAGTAGGTTATCAAATCAGTTGTTATGGAAGAACCCATGAATGCTAAAGCAGTTGGTGCAAAAGAAGCGGAAGATGCCAAATCAGCTGCCGCAAAGGAAGTCATGCCTGCCAAAACAGCTGCTCCAAAAGAAGGCAAGAAAGCCAAATCAGTTGCTCCAAAAGAGGTCATGAATGCCAAGAACTAAGGCTTCTTGTATGAACACGTTATATCGAACAAGAGTAGCTTGTCATTTTGAACGTTTTCTTGCTGGACACCTTTTGAAACAATAGTAAGTTCCTTTTGCACAAGTCACTGGTGATGATTCTGTACTCCTTAAATGCTCTGCCATGTGAACTTTTATATAATTTGTGTACTTAAGTAGCAACTTATGTATGGTTATCATGCCTAACTTCAAACCTAATATCTTATGGCTGCACTTTTGTTATGAAAACATGATAACCAACAAATCTCAAGTCAAGCATTTATTTATTTTATGTTCTGTATTCCTTAGTGATGGCTTATTTGGTGTTGAGTGATGACCTTGAAATAGGTCAACCATGTTCCAATTAAGATATTCAAGAAATGCTGAATGATACCATGGTTTTAAATTAATTCATCAATTTGTTTCCAGGTTAGGAATCAATTTACATAGCAAATCCAATTACAATTAACTATATTTTGCTTCCCATGTGCATTCCAAACCAGAATTAACAAGAAAATGCTAGCCCAACTACAATTGAGTTCAAAAACTATCAATTAAACCAACAACTAATTAACCAAAATTCACTTCATACAAAATACCTCTGATTATATATAGCTGAAGAAATAAAAATTTAGACAAACATATTTATAAAGCCATCAATATTAAATATTCCAAACATAATATATATATAAAATAAGAATATCAGAGTCATTACACTACATAATATATATAGAGGCCAGTATTTCTAATAACAAAATTACATTAAACCACTTAAAAAGCTAGCTGACCCTAGAATGACTATCTACTTAACCAAAATCTATACTGCATAAAATACTTGCTTAGCTTAATCAGAGTCAAACCCAAAAGCTTCAGAATCATCACCAGACACTTCAGGTGAATGATGATGGTATGGGTAGCCAATGTCTTCTTCAGATTCTCCATCATACCATGAATCATATTCTGCCTACAACCCATCTTCCTCCTCTTCGTTTTCTTCTTCTACCTCTGAGCCCCTCTCCTGATTAATCTGTGCTTGTTGTTACTCTTGCTACGCCACACCAACGTTCACTTCACCAATTGCAGGCTGCTCCTGCACTCCTTCAGCTTGAACAACAACGGTTGAAGAGATTACCTGTTTCACAACAGGCTCTTCATCACTGATTTCCATGTCCGCTTCCCCTCCCTTGACACCAACACCTAAAACCTCATTACCCTTGCTACACTGACCACTGCTTTTGGATGATTCCCCTTTGAAACCCACAAAGCTCCTCTTTTTGACAGGTTCTTCGTCGCTGTTGCTATCGCTGTCAACCTGAATCGGAGAAGCAAGATTACTACCAATTCTAATCCCCTTATTCTTGTTCTTATCCTCAGCAACTGGGATCGAATGAGCAGAGCTGATGCCAATTTTAAGCCCCTTATTCTTCTCCTTTTCCCGAGCAACCTCAGCGCACTTTGCAAGTTGTTCATCAATATCTTGCATTTCCTTCGTTAGCTCTGTTAATTTTTGGGTTGCATCAAGACGAGCCTCATCCGCTGCGTAATATCTACCCCAAAGGTTTGCTTTCCTTATTTTTAAGAATTTACGATACCATTCTGTAAATGGAGTGTCTTCATCACTTTCAGCCATGAAAGAGCTTAAGTTTCAAAGTTTAATGGAAGATAGAAATGCCGAATACTAACAGCTTTTTCAATTTGCATCAAAAGAAAAGAGAGGGTTTTTGGAGATGTGTGACTAATCACTCTCCCTTTTAATACACCACAAGCCGTCACTTGAAGTCTTTTCAATTGTCTTCATAGCATGCAGAAGAAGAAATGTCGCGTTGTTTCAGAAATTGCACAATAATCGAGGAAACGCAACAGTTTTACTAATACTCTATATTTTTTTTTGGAGCAATAAGCTTGTTATATATAACTATTACTAAGAGTATCCAAAAATAGAAAGCAAGTTTCTTTCACATTTGTTTAATACCAAACCAACTTACACACTCATATAATAAATTTTTCCCGGAATTTTTGTTTAATACAAAACGTTAACTACATTATAAAAGGATTGTTTTAATTTCAACCCAATTAACCTCATACATTAAAACGATAGTTTCTAGCTTATACCCAATTAACAAAATAGTGTCGAGCAAAAACTTAAACGAGTGTAAATTAAATACGCGCCATTCTATTTTAAAAAATTAGATGAGTACTAAAACTCACATGTAGTAAATTATTCAAAAATATAAATTTTAATTTTTCAAGTGTCATTTCTTAATTATATTTTACTCAAATGTTACAGTAATAAAATAAAAATAATGTTACATTAATATTAAATACAATAACCAACAACATTGAATTTGGACCTCCCACGTTTTACATGGATTATTATTTATGATTTTTATATCACAAATCCTATTAATTAACATATTGTCATTGTTTGATATATCTATCACCCTTATTCTTAAATGCATTCCAATAATAAATTTACACATTTAGCTTCTTGATGCTAAATAAAAAGATCGTTCTATAATGTTGTCAATTTATTCGACTTGTTGATTTATATTTGATTTATTTATCCCGATAACCAAAGTGTTGCGCGCGCATCGCGCGCGTGCACCACAACTAGTCATTACTAGAAACTATAAGTACATAAAATACATAAAATTAGAGAAAATTTTGTGCATTTACAAGTATCTCATATACACTATTTAATTAAGAAAGCTTTTATTGAGTGTAAAGGACAAATAAAAAGGAGTGGTATCGAACCTCCGCCTGTTCAAGTAAATATACTCTATTCATTATTGCGACAAATGCTACAAAGTTAAAACAAGCTGCATTTAATTTAATTATAACCAATATTTTGGGCTTCTATATGGGGACCTGGGCAGTTGCCCCGGCTCAGATACGGGTCTGGGTCCATAACAACTACATCAATCTAATTCTCCACATCATCGAAACACAGCACCATGTTCAATTACTAAGAGAATAAACAATAACAGCAAGAACAATGATTCCAAGACATAAAGCTTACTACTTGAAAGGATTAATGCCCTTATCTAGTAACTGAAATTGATAAGTTCTCCTGCATCAGTTCATACCTTGAAAGGTTGCAAAATACCATGTGTTTCACAGCTAACCAAATGATAATATCCCAAGTGTAAATCTCACCTAAATTGGTGCAAATCATAAAATTCCAAAGTTTAAAATGATGGCCATAACCATAAACAGTTCTGCAGCTACCTTACAACTATCAAAGAATTAATATAATTTGCAAACCTTACTGAAACATCCTTAACTTTCTGGAATAGCTTCAAATGGCGCTCTTGAAACAAGTCAGGGAGTATCACAAGAAATCGTTCTAACCCATCTGTAGATATATAAAAATACAGAGTCATATTTAAGAGAACTATATGCAATTCCCTGAATTTAGTACAACAAGATTCACAATGCAGATAAAAATCACATTGTATAAGTTATGATATAAAATCCCAGACAGTTATATGCCATTACCATTTAGCCATCTGTAATGAGGTTTTAGGCCATGAGTTCATCAAGACGCTTCTCCTTAACCTGTGAAACGAGGTGTTAACATTGATAATATTAAGCACTTAAATTGGATGACATAATTGTATTTATCATACTTACAGGTTGCTTGCGAGAATTCTTGGTTGCAACACCTTTGATGGGAATGGACTTCCCTTTCATTGCAATGGCCTTCCCCTTAGCCTTCATAGTACTTTGTGAATTTCCCTTTCCTTGACCTTGTAGTGCATCTCCCTTTCCCCTACTTGCAACTCTCTTGGTTGTCTCCTTCTCCCCTTGCGCCTTTCCTTTTCTGTTAACTCTGCTAGACTTTCCCACTCCCCATTGGTTGTGTCCTTCTCCTTGGGTGCCTTCTTCCCCTTAGACTTTCCCACTCCCCCCTTGGTTGTGTCCTTCTCCTCGGGTGCCTTCTTCCCCTTAGTTGCATGTCGATCGTCCTCAACATCACTTTCAGCACCCTATATGAATCCAAATTGCATTCACATATGACATATCCAGATAGCAGTCACAGACATATGTAATGAAATAATAAACTGATTAGCAATCAGACCACTTAAAATAGAAGGAAATAAATGAATCTTACATTGTTTTGCAGCTTCTTCTTGTTGGTGGTTTTCTTGTATCCGGTTTCAGCAAGTGTCTTGTGCCTCGAAGCCTTGGGCATGCCCCTTTTCCTTTTCTTAATTATAGGATCTTTGATGACAGGTTCTATGGCAGATGGACAGGGGTCTTGATGCTCTGAAGTACTAGGAACTGGGTTACGAACCGAGGAAATCGTTCCCTCTTCAGCTGCTGATGACAATGTACTGACTACAGGAACATGCTCCTTACTTTTCTTTTCCTTACACTCATTAATGGCAATTTGAAGCTTTGAAAGTGCTTCAATTACCATATTGACTGTTTGATCGTTCACCAAGGAAGCGGTTTCACATAAAGGTTCGAATTTCTCCATCATTTTGTTAAACCTCTTCACAGTGTCCGTGTCGCCCGGATCATGATAAGCCACCTTCACCCTTGTGTGCTTTCATGGTACGTCCTTCCTCCAACGGGCTAGAATGTACTTTTCTGGCACCTCGTCGGGCAACATTTAATCCAGAATCCGAATGCAATGTTTGCAAAGTATGCCACTTGTCTCAAACTTCCTACAATCGCATTGCACTTCCTTTGTTAAAGGACAACATGTGACATTGTATAGTCGTCGCCTATCAGTAATGACATCCTCACTAGCACCGGGAGGTACTATCCACACACGATCGATCACTGAAAATTGAATACAGTTTTCGGACAGAACCTTTTCTCCTCGTACATTGCAGTACATCATTCTCGAACACTCCGTTTGAACTTCTTGAAACTTGTTGTTCGTGTACAACTTTTGGAAAACTTTTTCAACTGTATAGCCACTAACCAACCTCCTAACGTACTTCGAGCACCGCTCATCTGCACTCACTTCATCTCGAACGCGTTGATTTAGAGCCATGGTGTATTTCTGAGGAAACTCATGTAGCTTGGTTTTGCGGTTGACACAGCATACCATCAATATAGCCAACAGAAGGTTAGCTGAGATAAATATAGCTAACATCAATATAGCTAACAGAAGGTTAGCTGAGATAAACAGCAGGTAAGCTGACATCAGAACAGCACCTAAACACTAAGAGCAGAAATACTTATTAGTCTGCCTGTACTCACCTGCTCTATCTGTGTGTCATGTTTCCTTACACAAAGGAATGGATAATAGCCTAAAATGGTACCTAAGACTCAAGATGCTCACGTTTCGATCAGTTACTATTATTTTTAACAACACAGCATATATTATCATATCAACATGGAAGAATATCATCAAATAAATAACGCAAATATATCAAACAATCATATACACATACAACAATTATATCAAATAAGCATGGCAGAAAATTATCACAAAGAGTGTGATAATTGTGTAAACCACTTATCGTGCACACTTGCCGAGTTTGTCAGGGATTTTGCTCATGATATGCCAAATGCACTAACGATGCATAGTGTTGGGCATAACTTCAGCTAGGGGCCTCCGCATAGCTGTCGCTTGGTCGGTCAAAATGGCATTAGGAGCTCTATTATTCATACAAGCTAGCCACTGTCAAAAAATCCAAGCAAATGTATCACAATCTTCATGTGAAATAAGAGCACATCCCAACAACAACGATTGCCCATGGTGGTTTACACCAACAAAGCTTGCAAATGGGAGCTCGTATTCATTTGTTAGGTATGTTGCGTCGAAGCAAACCGCATCACCGAAATCTTCATAAGCTACCCTACTTCTTGCATCCACCCACAACACATCCTTAAGCCTTCCTTCTTCATCCAAACGTTGTGCATGGAAAAAATTTTGATTACCGGATTGCATTTTTTCAAAATACTCCATCATTGCCACCGAGTCCCCTCCAACCATATTCAACCGCCGGGCCTTGTACACCTCGTGTTGTTAATCTTTTACGGTGAGGGGCATGTTTTCCATTCCGTTTCGTTCAGTTTCCATGCAACCGTGTATTTGAGAAATGGGCACACCTTGCTCATAGTAATCCATCAACTTCTTCCTCATTTTAGAGGTTATGTGCTTCATGCGGTATTTTTCACAAGCTTGGAATTTGCCGGATCAATCTTGTGATTATGCTCTAAGTGCACGGTCTTCAACACCCACAATCCATCATCATTCATTCTAGCATAAACACGCGCCTCACATTCGCACTTTTTCGAGGTCCTCTTCATACGACTTAACTCATCCTCGCATACCACCCCTTCAACTAAGCCACCTGAGCCACCAAAACCTATTGCCTTTGCCCTCTTCTTCGCTTCCCTCCTAGCCCTCATGTCGGGCTTTCCCAAACACTCACACTTCCAAGTCATAGCTATTCATTTTTTCTTATCCGTCTTAGAATTTACACCTTGAACCCTAGACACTCCAAAACCAATCTGCTCAGCATACTCCTTATAGTACGCTTCTACCTCATTGCAAGACCGGAAAACCATTCCTTCTTTAGGCTCCTCGACAATCACAGTCCATTTCGTTGCTACCAACAACAGTGTGAGTGGTATGTAGTGTTGTCAAGGGGGATAAATACCTAACATTCAAGTCAACTGCACTCTGACCACAACTATTTGCAACGACTATGTCTTCTATACCCTCCATATCATTACCCTCCTCCATATCAATGTCATTCATATACTTAACACCACTGCCCCTATCACCTACACCAACCTCACTGCCCCTTATAACGCCTTCAATTTCCAATTCCAGTTCCATTTCCATCCAAACAATATACACCAACAACAGATCACCTTTCAGATACAAGACATGGCAACATCACAACAGAATAGATCCTTGTAAACCATAACATATCCCTGTCCCATTAATACTTGTATCGCACATAATAAATCTAAAATATGAGCACAAATTATTCCAATCAGTGTACAACTACATGATACTGACAAAATAATACACCGAAAAACATGTACAACAATGTTGCGAGATAAAAAAGGTGATATAAGGGGATAAATTCACTAAACTTTCTTTCAATGCAATGTTTGTTGATAGCCAATCCTAAATCAGCTAATTTACAAACGCCAAATTTTGAGTGTTCAGATAATCAATGAGCCAAACAGAGGGATTGATACTAATCCAATCACAGAGTGAATTACGAAATCAATTTCAAAACAAATGGAATTATTAATTCAATTTCGTGAATTTTTTGACTAATCAGATAATTCAATTTAAAACCCTAGATCTAAAATTTTGCAAAATTGCTCGAAAAAAGTACGAATACAGAGATGAGTAGGAAGCTTACTTACCTTTAACTTCAATGGAGTCAAATGCTAGAATTTTTTTGTTCGGGATACCCAAGACTTACTTCAACGGAATTAGCCAAGGAAAAATCGCCATTGATATAGAGGAGAGAGAAAACTTAACGGTTAGAGGTGAGAGCTGTTGGCTGGGTAACGACATAAGTCACCCTTATTACCACATAGGTTGTCCCCACAATATCCCACTCAGCATCTTCTATTGTTCTAAACATGTAAATAATTTGTATTTGCCATTGTGAGAAACGCTGATGTTCCTCACGGTGAGCAATGGGGGCTCCTTCTAATCGGGAAATTCCCTGTTTCTCATGGTGAGAAACAAATTTGTTTCTCATAATGGTATTTTCATGAATAAATCAACAACTTTTTTATTATGATGGGCTCCACAATTGAATAAAGTTGAATAAAGTTGTTAATTTATTTACGAAAATGTCATGTGAGAAACAAAATTTGTTTCTCACCATGAGAAACTGGGGCATCCTCTAATCCAACAAAATTGAGCGCAATTACACAAAATCCAACAGGCACATGTAAATGACAATGAATACATGGAAAGCGGGTAATTATTACAAAATCATCAAGTTGTGTCCCTGGATTAGACTCATCTAAAAATTATCAAAACCCTTACACAATTTGACAAGGGAAATAAACATGTCGTCAAGTGCCTAACCCTAGATCAAATAAAATTTATATAACCTAAACGAACCAAATACAAGTATAAGGTAAGCAAAGGGTCGAACCACTAGTAGAAGCTAAACACTGTGATCACTACTAATCAATCTCGGGATGAAGAATGGAATTATCTAAGAGATTAAAGCTAAGAGTGAAATGAACTAGAGACAATATAAAGAGAAAACCAAGGGGAATAGGTAGATGTTGGTTTTACTTGAACATGCAATAACATGGGAACAAACCGATTATGAACTAAACATGCATGAATATCGATATAAGGGGGTCCAATCTAGCCACCTTCCGGGGTCAATTGGCTTCTCCTAACATAGCTTCTATGTTTTCACATTAGAACCATATATTGGGAGGTGCAATCAAGTAACAATCAATACAAATGAACTTAGCTAAGTCAACTATTCTTTCATTTAGCAAAGATTCATCCTCAATCAACTAATAACGTGCACTTTGCAGAAGATCGGAGATCAATCAAACATGTAAAGACTTTAATCACAATCAACTTGAATCTCAACACTAAAAACATGAACATATTCCAACTACATCATCCATAACTACTCACTATCCATAGCAATCAACAAGTCAATCATGAAATGTACAAGAAAAGGCATGATTAATAACGAAATAACAAAGCAAAGCAATCTAAAACAAAATCAAATAGCAAAGTAAAAAGAAAAGAGTAAGGAAATGCTCATTCATTGAAGTTGAAGTTTTACAAAGAGGTTGATTAAGCTTCTTCTTCAAAATCCAAGCTCAACAATGGAGGAATCCACACTTTCTCTCTCTAAAATTCCAAAACTAATGGTGTTTATCTCTCTAGATTAAGCTAAAAATCAAGCTAAGCTAACCTAACCTAACTCCCTAAAACGTTCTAAAGAGGGACTTAAATAGTCCGTTCAAAGTCGGTTGTAATCGAGAAATGGTCCGACCGAACACAAGGTGGGTTCAGTCGGACTGTGGGTAGGTTCGGTCAAACCATGGGTAGGTTCGACCGAACCTCCCTGCTCCTGGTATGGTCGAACTTTGGGGGTTCAGCCCATCATGCAAAAACACTGAAAATTGGTTTGAAACTGCTTCATTTGCACCTTGGAGGTTCGGTCAAACTTTAGAAAAGTTTGACCACACCATGGTTCAACCGAACCTCTAGGAGGTTCGACCACACCTCTAGGAGGTTCGACCACACCTCTCTTGAACTTGCTTCCCTTGCTTCCTCTTGATCTTGCTTCCCTTGCTTCCTCTCCTTCCTTTTGCTCCTCTTGATCTAGAACCTCTCCTTTTCAAGACCATGGTTCCTATAAAACACAAACGAGGAAACCAAGGTAGAAAATAGATAAAGTAAAAACTAGGAAAGAATACGAACAAAAGAAAGAAGAAATAAAGATAAGAAAAAGAAGGTACAAACAAGCTAAGTATGGGAGAATAACCGTTAAAATGAGCCCTTAATCGTGGCATACATGCCACTCATCAACTTACCCCACACTTGCCTCTTGCTTGTCCTCAAGCAAAGAAAGATAGAAAAGGCTAAAGCTAACAAAGAAAAACCAGATTTGCTTTTGGCGTAAACAACAAGCCATTTAAACCTCTAGGTCGCCGATGAGGACGAGTCATGATCTCGTGAAGGTTTCCAAAGAGCTTACCCAACAACTCTCACAAAATTGCGTTCAAGACAAACCAAAAGTCGGAAACAAGAGAATGAATCAATAAGTACACGCAAATCATAGTCAACTCAAGCTTTTAAAGGCAACAAACATAAGTGGATGGCAAGCTTTCCAAGTGGTAAAAGTAAGCATGCAAGAGGATGCCAATGGTTGATTGAAGGATAAATCATGCTAAGCATAGAGAACTCTAAAATAAACCACTCCTCCCACACTCCATATAATCTTACTGACAAGCGCACTTTAGGGCGCGCTTTAGAGCATATTTTAGGATGATTTTGGATGTATTTGGGGCCGCTTTGGCCGATTATTACCTTGTTATGCTTACGTTCCCCATATTACGTGCTTCACGGGTTTTTGGTTTGTTTTTGATGTGTTTTCAGGCAATATCAACCGAGTTTAATCGGATCCCGAGCCCTTGATGCGTAACCGAGCTAGCCTTGACCGAAGTCCGAGGAGTTAAGGAAGTTCAAGTGCCGTGCATTGATTACATAGCACAGGCAGCACGACCGTGTTACCATAGGCACACCCGTGATGGCCTATACGCAAGCAACCCCAGGCAAGGCAGCACGGCCGTGCAAGCCAATAGCACGGCCGTGTCAGTATCCACGCACCCGCACGGCCGTGCAGGCCATTAGCACGGCCGTGCCAGATGTTGCCCGTGCCCGTGTCAGCTTCAGTATGAGCCCCGTGCTAGAGCATATTCAGCACGGCCGTGTCATTTTTAGCACGGCCGTGCCAGGAAGCTGCACGGCCGTGCCATATATAGCACGACCGTGCCAATTTGAAGAAGAAATCCGGTTTACTTACTAACAAGCTAGCACAGCCGTGCCAAATACAGCACGGCCGTGCTGATCCAGGGTTAACTGTGCGCTTGACTTCTCCGCATTAGAAGACGTATATAAGGCCCAACTTTAAGAGGATTCCTCATACAGTTTTTAGAGATAGTTTTTGAGAGCCTTTGTAGAGAGTTATTGGAGAACGTTCTTAGTTTTAGATATTCATTAGTTTTCTTAGAGATTATTCTAGCGATTTTAGTTTTCTTGGATTGATTTGAAGCAAGATTTGTGAAGATTCTTTGTATTATTCATTGACGACGGATATCAAAGTTCTGAACTTTTCCATTGATTCGCATCAATACAATTGGTATTATTCATTCTTGTTTATTAATCAAGCTTTATTATTCCTTAATCAGAATTCATGTTTATATCTATTATGCTTTTGGAATTCATTATTGCTTTGATTATGAATATGTGTGAGTAGTCTCCTAGCTAGGGTTTCGGGATGAAACCCGGCCTAGGTAATCTATGTAATTGAGGATTGATTTTGATAAACGGATTGTGATTAAATTGATTATATGCGATTGCATGTTAATTCATTATAATAGGAGTAGCTAACCTAGAATCTTGAATTTGATTGCATGATATCCTTGATTTGAACAAGAGATTGTGAATTGAGTATTTCATTATTGAATGTGGTTTGATTATGTATCGAGTAATGTTAAGTGCATGAGAAATCCAAGCTTAGTATTGCCCGTTGTCTTCCTATCACATGATATTGATCAGACATATAGTCTTTGCATATCCCGTTTGTCTCTGTGATTCCTTGTTGCGTAGTTACCGATGGTTTGGTGAATTCCCGTTCTCCCTAGTGTCTTAGTTTATTGATTTATTCCATCTTATTAGTAGTATTTTAGAACACCATTTTCCATTGATTTCGAACTAGCTTAGGTTTAAGATTGATTTGCAATTACTCTCGTTCCTCGTGGACCGAACCTTTATTTGCCATTGTACTTGGTTATAGGGTGTTCGTATAAATATTGTTTGATTGAGTGTTAGATTGTAGCGACCGATTTAACCCTCGTCAAAATGGCGCCGTTGTCGGGGAACGGTGTTTGTTAATTGCTTTTTGATTTCTTGAGTCTAGTTCATCATAAAAAAAAGCACAAAAAGATTTTTCCCTTTTGGCTACACTTGTAGCCCTGCTATTTAATTGGTTTGGTTAGTGTGTATGCGCAGGTCTAAACAGAGAGAATTAATACCCTTCGATCCAGAAATCGAAAGAACTTTGAAGAGCAATCGTAAATCTCGATTGACGTCATCAAACTCTCAAGGAAAGGAACACAACACACAACAGGTTCCAATGACAGACATACCGCGCCAACCTAATCGGCCAGCACCACGACCCCTTAAGGAGTTGGGAACTCCTGGGGCGTATAGAGCTTCAAGTGGGATTGCTCCACCCACTACTGAGGCCAATGATTTTGAGATCCGGCCGGCCATGATCACCCTTATCGAACGAAGGCAGTTTAGCGGTGCCAAGAATGAGAGCCCTTTGGCTCATCTGAACGAGTTTGAGAAGTACTGCAACACTATTAAAGTCAATGGGGTGACTCAGGAGTTCGTGAGATTAAAGCTTTTCCCATTTTCACTCATCGGGAGAGCTCTCGAATGCTTAGAGAAGGAGGTAAAACCAAATACTCTACACACTTGGGATGATGTCACGACAGCATTTTTGGGAAGATTCTATTCTCAAAAGAAGACGGCCGATGCTAGAGCCTTGATTCAAGGGTTTCGACAAAGGAGTGGGGAGTCGATCTATGAAGCATGGGAAAGGTACAAGGGGTACCAAAGAGAGTGCCCGCACCACGGAATCCTAACATACCAGGTGCTACAGATATTCTATGGAGGATTAAGTCCTCAAGGGAAAACCAGTTTGGATGCGGGAGCAGGTGGCCCAATAATGAACAAAACTGAAGAGCAGGTCATAGATATTATCGAAGATGTGGTACGACACCACATGGATTGGCAAGACGGCGAGCGAGA